TGAAAATATTTCATACCTCCTTCATCCAGTGTATAATCGTACTGGAAAAGATGTGGTACAAGTTGCCAGATAACACCTGCTTGAAAGAGATGCATTTGGAGCATTGTACAGACAGCCAGTGAACAAACACATTCGGCAGCTGCGCAGGCAAGATATGGCAAATGCTAAAATTTACAAATAATTTAAGGCACAAGCAAAAAAATACCATCAAAATTCCTTTCAGAAAATTCGACTGCTCGAAAACGAGCAAGGAAAAAGAGACTTTGATGCCCAATTTGCATGACAAAGAGGAAAACTTTTATTCCAGGAAAACTTTTTTTTTTTCCAGGAAAAGTATTCCAGAAAAACTTTTTTTTTAAAAAAAAAAACTTACATGAAACTGTAGAAGTCAAATATGCTACTAAATAATGTTGGCATTTCAGAAATCTTCTCACGACATGCTTTAAATTGCGCAGCCGTTCCAAAACAGTGCAACGAATGCATACAGATCTGCAAAAATACACACACATCTGAAAAAATCTCCATCATTTCTGGAATTTTTATGAAAAATCGGCTTTTCCCCAGGGAACTTTTCCCCCTTCTGTTCAATAGCAAAAATAAATTTCAAACCAAGAAAAAGCAAGGTAAATAAAGATTTTTTTAACGCAACTATAATAAAAAAAAAACGTTAATACCACAATCGATCAGGCAAATGGTATAGCAATGCCACTTTAGTAATGTTACTCAGACGTTCCCAAAATGCTGAGTTTCAGTTTGGAGCCGCATAGCAGTTAGTACCACCGCCCGTTCGAAGTATATGAAAATACATATATTCCTCACTGATAACCGTGATCTGCCCTCATACTGCTCAAAATTTTTGTATTTTACATAGATTATGAGCAATATATGGAGCAGATCACGACTGACAGTGAGGAATACCGCACGTGAAGCTTAGTTGTGCGCGGGCGACTAATTTGGGTCTACGAGATCACACATGAGTAGTGGGTCTCTCTCTAAAATTTCAGCTTTCTAGCTTCTTTGGTTCCCAAGTTGGAACCCCGGATAAAACTGTACCGCTTCATCGGAGTGCCAAACTGAATATTTACTGCACAGGCAATTTTCACCAGCACGAAACCTCCACCGATTCTGTCAGCAAAACGGACAACATTCCCTACTTCATCGAATTTGTTTTTTCACGCATTACAGTAAAAACTCACACAATCCCTATTTTAAGGAGATTTTATTCCAATATACGATAAGAAAGACAAACTCCAAGATCCTTCACTTCATTGCTCTCTCTTCGTCTGTCACACTATTTCTTCTAATGATCATATTTCTCAAAAATAGTTATTTCTAATTAAGAAAAGAGCCAACTCTAGCACGATTCACGTCGATTTCTACAAAGCATTGTTTTAAAAAGCAATTGAAAAAACAAGTACTGTAAAAAAAAATCAATTAAAGGACCTCGTAAATTATGAAAAAATTTTTTTTGTTTTTTTCGAAAATATGCCATTGACACAGAAAATCCCATCTTACCTGTACAACCATATCATCTTCTTTGGAACTCAAAGTGACCATTGGAACGCATCGTTCAAATGCTAATTGCAGTGCCTAAAAAAAAATTTTGTTTGTTCAAATCTAATATCGCATATTTTTGGTCGATTTTTGTGATAAGGAAATAATTTTTGTCTCAAACTAGGGCCCTTGTGAGATTTTAGGTTTCAGATCTATGATAAGCACCTGCAATTTCGACGATATCCATGCCATCCTGTAGCGATCTCAACCCAATCAAGCATTATAGCACAACTTTTATGAACCTCAGTCCACGACTACGCAGGAGGAATGACTCTAAATCGAATACTGATTTCACTGTAATTACCTAAAGGGTCACTCGGAGGCTTTATGCTGCAGACCCGTGGTCATTCTGAAATTTTATGCTGCAGATCCGTGGTCACTCTGAAGTTTTAGGTTATACATCACCTACAGAAAACCGAGGATAATACATGGATTAATAAAACCAGCACTGGAAACTAAGCAACTAGGTTTTTTAGTTTGAAACGCTGATCTGTTTCCACAAGAAAAGTGAGGCAGGATATGGCATTTAGGTTTGGGCACTGAAACATGAGAAAGCTGTCACAGTACGTCACGAAAGTGATGAAACTTAAAGAAG